CAATGTGTGGACCTAGGGTCAGGGGTTTATTTCACAGTGTTAGGGGCACTACTGATTATTGCTGAATATTACTGATTAGTTGGAATGCATTTTTGTTCCCCTACCTTGCGTATGGATATTCAGAAACGTTCATGAAGATCCTATGAACTTCTTATTGGACATTTTCAAATCAAATTATAAACCAAGCTAAGCAACTGCTAAGTGTATTGTTATGATGATCAATGGTTCCTCTTTCAAAATTGTGAATGCCATATAGCATCTGGCTTAAAACGTGAATCAAATTCAATAACTGGAAAGTTGTTGCAGAATGCTCAGGTGACCTATAAGGCCCGTGGGCCTCTTGTTATCACATTATTTTTAAAAATTACTGTGCATTATTTTAATTTTTACATTTAATCGTGGTAGTATGTTCCAAATTGAATATAAATAGTTGTTTCCTGAAATTTCCTATATGTAACCTGCAATCTGTAAATGATACCGTTTTAACTTTCTGTCATGATGTTTAAAGATAGTGAGAATTTTCTTTGCTTGAATACCTGTGTGACAATTAGAAATATTGAATATTAACCACGAAAAGACTCATGATTATTAATTTATCTGTTTTAAAAATTTTATAAAGAGTGCATGTAATGAAAAAAAAATTATAGACACGCCTTGCCTGTCTGATATATGTAATTTTCGCAAGTTAGAGACAGGCAATGCCAGTTTAGATATTTTATTGAAAAAAAGGTTTGCTTGAGTGAAACAGTGTACTCCTACAGTCAGGTGTATAATACATTAACATTTTCAAAAATAACCCAAACGAGTTGTTTGTTACAATGAGTTACCCTTCTTTGTTTCTGCCCTCCTTCAATTTCTTTTTCCCACCCAAGTTATCTTTCCTAAATAGTTTCAATAAAATGAAATTTCGTTTAAGTTATTTTTGTGCTTGTGCACCCAGACCAAAAAAGTTTGATTTATATTGTGTGTTTATTGTAAAACTTGTTTCATCCAGAAAAAGTTTAACTGTTCAAGGTGTTTGATAAAGTGGATAAATTGCTTAATTGATGATAAAGGCTTGACCCCAAAAAAGTAAATAACACCCGAATGTGATAGGTAAAATGCGGTTTATCCCCACTCCCCTACTTATCCCTTATCTGTGCAGTGCATCTTGTTTCATTTGTTGCATGTTCATTTTGGAATCCCAAAGGGAAATGTATATTGGTGGTAGAACAGAAAAAAAAGATTTCAGATAAAATCGATGACCAAAAGAGATAAAAAATTTAACTTAAACAAGTTATTATTTTGAAAAAAGGGATGAGTAAAACAGCTTAATATACCAGTTATTTTTTGCTGTTTGCATTACAATGTTTGTCCCTGGTTGATGTGCTTGCATTTCTATGACTGAAGAAATACACGTATAACAAAGAGCAATCGTCAGACACAAAAATCCAATGAAGTACAAACTGGAAGCAGAGCAAACAAGGATCCGTTGAAACATACATGTAAGGAGGGATCAGGTGTCATGGATTAGTAAGCGTCTGCAGTCTAAAGATAATAAAAAATTTGAGGTCCATGGGACGCAACACTCACCAGAGTCACTATGACCCTACTAGTCTTCATTCTGTTTTCCAACTATTCGTTTATGAATCTAAGATCAGCTTTTGTGGCCCCAACCTGGGGATTGTATCGTGCTTGGAACATAACTACGTGAATCTAGACTGTCATATCAATCTGACTAAAAAGGCCACTGCTATACCCTCAGGGGTCATGATTCGAACAAACTTGACACTATTTGGAGATATCTTCATTTTGAATATGACTAATCATGGCTGTACTATTTTTGAGAAGACATTGAACATTTATTTGTAAAACTTTGATTACCTATTGTTTCATCACCTTACCACCCCCACCTTCCTTGGATCCGCCTTTGCGCTATATTCCTTTAACAGTCAACAGAAACTGAATTGGAAGATTAATTCATTGTACGAATACAATCTCACTAAAATAAGATGTTAGATCCGCTCGCATTCTCGCTACATTAACATCTAACAACATCCTATAGAGGGTCAAGACAGAGTGCAAGTGCAAATTCTATCAACCAATCAAATCGTCGCCTACAAAATCATCGTATATTTGTTGAAGCGAATATTTCTAGAGTTGTTCCGAATTTGACCTCTGACGTGAATCTTTATGGGATGTTGTTAGATGCTAGTATAGCGAGTATGCGAGCGGATCTAACATCTAATTTTAATTAGATTGCTACGAATATATCAGTTTTCTAGGGAAAAATTTTTATTCCTTCGTTGATCTTTTAGAAAAGAAATTGTTTGGTTGCCCTTCTTGATCGACTGTCTATAAAAATTAGCCTGGTCCCCTGGCACATCCTTGCCAAGAAGAACCCTAGTGAAGCGGAGTACAAGAAGCATAATAGGGACAGTGAATCAGACTAGCTAAAATGCACTCGGTACACCTCGGCTGAATCATACCGCATGTGATGAAGGTGATGGATTCAGCTGAGGTTATCGAATGGCTAAAAATGACCCGACTCAAAACTTTTTTTTTAATCCAGAAAGTAACCGGTTTTCTATGCATTCTATAAAAAAAAAAAAAAAAAAAAAAAAAAAAAAATCAGCATTCCGATAAAATTGAAATTTCCTGAAAGAATCTAATCTACCTACATGTACCGACCTTTTTTTCCTCATTCCGATTCGGGGTGGGCAAACAAACATCAGTTCACTGTTACATGTACACAGCCTTAAATTAACTATAACTGTAATACATTGAAATACATTAAAAATCACTTTATACATGGTAGATTCCAATAAAAACAACACCTAATGTAAAAATATAAGGACGTTTATTTCATTGTATCATCTTCATTTTACTAGATATTTTTTTTTTTTTTTTTTTTTTTAAGATAAAACTTCAGACTCGTGTGGTAACATGTAAGAGTATCAATTAATGGTTATATTTTGTAAATCTGTCAGTTAGAAATATAATTTTACTCATTCCAAAATACATCTCATACTGAGAAAAAATATTGTTGTTTTTTTTTTCTCGTAGTAGAGCGCATGGAGATTTTAGTTTCTGAAACTCAATGCAAAAGCGGAAATACAGATATTTTAGATATACTATATTTTTCAATTTCTTGAAAACTAATACTATAAGGCGCGCCGATGACTTTAAACATAGAATTACGTCTAATATAAGAGGGGTGATCAAAAAGTTCGCAAACTATCTCTATATCTAGAAAACCACAATTCAGATTAGAATAAAATTCAGTACACACATAGCCATACACAAGTTCTATAAATAGCATATGCTGAATTAAGTTTCCCTCCTTGTTTGTGACGTCACAATGTGAAAATGGCGTCACTATTTAGGTCACTTGTGACGAAAAATGGTTGTCTCAGTCGAACTCGTTCTGCAAACGACTGTACAATTTATTGTATATCTTAGAAATCCCTCTACAGTATCATATAATAATTTGTAGACAGTTTATTGAGATAAATTAGTTCCTATAAATTCAATTAATGATTGGATTAATCGTTTTAGTGAAGGAAGGCTGATGGTTAAAAATGATACTTGTCATCTTGCCCAGTGAAAGCAAGTTTAAAAAGATATGTGCCCCTATGAATATTTTTCTCTCTCTTCCTTACTGTTTCTTTCTTTCTCTCTTTCTTTCTCTCTCTCCTCCTTTCTCTTTTCTGCATTAAAACAATTTTCGCACTCGCTAGATGTGTACATGTATTTTTGTGTGTCTTGATGTAAGTTTGATACCTGTATACGCTATTTATAATAGGTACCTGAATGAAGATATATATGTGACTATACTTTTGTATATACTTATTTGATATGAATGTGCAAGTTGAAATAAAAAAAAAATCACTGCGCTTTTTTTTTCTTGGATTGTTATATTCAATAGACTGAAACTTTAATGGAATTAAATACATGTAGGTCATTCAATTAATGGCGGCGGGAACAAAGATGAATCAAAAAATAGAAGGTGACATCACATACATTGTACTTTGTAAAAATTTAAAATTATAAAGATGAAACAGACTGATTTTGAACCTGATTAATTTTTTTTTTAATCTGTACTTTCTTTAAATTAAATCTAAAAAAAAACAAGAAAAGACTTTCATTTTTTTCAAATTCTTTATGTATTAGTATTATCTTTTTGCAAAAACAGTACAATAAATTAGAGTTGAGAAATATATCACGTATATGAAAATACAGTTGATTGTGCATATTATAATTACTTGGCAATCGCATGCATACATTTTGAGATAAATAATTAGATAGAAAATGATTTCAGGCTATCTTCTTAAACTCTTAAGGATAATAAACCCAAGGCCTCTGCTAACTAATATAAAATGTTTCTTTATTTTTCCCCTTATGATTTTAAAAAAAAAAAGAATTATATTTTTTAAGTAAAATAAAAACATTTATAGCACAGTTTGTTACATTGGATAGATAAGACTTGACAATTTTATAAAAAAAAAAAAAAAAAAAAAAAAAAAACATATTAATGCTGTTAAGAGTTGTCTCTCTTATAAGAGTATCGATGGACCTTAAAACGATACATGGAGTTTATACAAGAACCCCTCTCACCTTCCTATTATTTTGGAGAAAAGATGGATGAAATGATATATATAACAAGAAATGCTGAATTAGATCTAATCACTCTGTTTTTATGAAATAAATCTTATTTTGTCATTTTTTCCTATATACAAGTCTTACGTAATTTGTTTGTGAAACAAATTTTGTAAACTCTGTTTTTATTACTCAATGCACATAATTTCTGCTGGCGAAATACGGAAGTAAACGTTTTTTTAGGAAGGGTTTGTTAAAAAAATAGAAAAAAGGAGAAATAAAAGGTTTAAAAAAAGAGACAGAAAAATTGAGATTGAAAAAGGAATTTTTCAGCGGGGAGGATGATCTGAGGAATTTATCAGTGAATAAATGAAAATATCTCGTTCCCACCTCTCAATTGTACAAGATAGCTGAGGCTCAAAGAAAATTGTAAAGTTTTATTAAATCCAGTAAGAATAAGTTTACAAGTTATATTTTATAACATGGATATACAGGCAAATTTAAAACAACATGGAAAAATAGATGATGACAGAAAATAACTACTAACAAGAATATCAGAACAAGCAGGATTCTCACACAATGCTCAATGAGTCCTATGTATGCTCCTTTTCTTCATCCTAGGATAATTTTTTACTAATTGTGATTGGTTGATGTAAGTTTTTTACAGCAGTAGTAAGCAGCTCCTTTAGCAACAACTAAATATGGCGTAGATGGAATGGCAATTGTTTTCTTAGAAAAGTTCTCGATTATATCATCTTGAACTCTTTTCACTTTTGAATAAACCCCCGTCAAGCAGATGAAATTGATAGCATTGTGTGGCTTATTTTCGTCTTCCAAAACCGACGCAATTCCAGTCTTTGCAACTTCACAAGCTAGCTTTGCAACCTCAGAAAAACATGCCTCTAACATAAAGTCCTTATCAATAGTGAATGACTTTTCGTGTATTTTAATTCCTTGACTGTGTTTCGATCTATGGAGCAGCGATTCAGCCTCGCACCGAGTGGTTTCTTTTACTAATTTTAAAAATGCCGGTGATAACTCTACCTCTACATCTGCATCGTCCTTCTCACACCGAAGCTGCCACATTTCAAAACTATACATCATTGCGTAGTATTCACCGGGATGTTCCTTTTCTAGTCTTTCTATGGGTTTCTTAGTGAATATATCAACTAAGAACTGTAAGAAGCATTTTTCTGGTGCTGTATCCTCCAGGAATCTATATTCCTGATTTACAAAATTACTCCCTTTAGTTTGTACTCTCAGAAAACTTATTTCACATGCATCTGAAAGAAAACATAATTATATGATAAAAAGTACCTTGTAAAAAGAACCACCATGCCCATAATCAAAAAGTTCTTCTTGAATACGAATATTAAAAGTAAGAACATTATTGTATGGTTTATTTATAGTTCCTACGTGTATGTAATATACTGAAAGGAAAAAGAAACGCAGGGTAACATAATATTCGAAAACTTATTGACCGCATGACCGAAAATTACGAAAATTGGTCGGATGAGAAATTTAGTTACTTTGCACAAAAATCAGTGTTCAGAATTACTCAACCGTAAAATGTATGACATCATGTTGGGAAAACGCTAAAAATCCCAAAACACGTACAATTTAATGACGACGAGTTTGTCAACAAATCTTGTTGCACCATTTGATGCACCTGAGGTATACACATTGTTTTTCAATATTAAGAGACGATATGAACTTCTTGCAATCTTGGTACAGTTTACGGAAGTTCAATGGGGTCTGATTTTTGAATTGCCTAATTAATGAAAAAGCCAACAACGGGTAACTAAGCAGTTTTTTGTAAATTTTCCCCCATAAAACTTGTTACCCGTTTTTAGAGAGGGCCTGGAATTGTTTTCAATCATCCGTGACGATTGCGTTAACGCGAAACAGACTTATGTTACGAGCGGGTTATTCTTCCTGTTGCCTGTTAAATCGCAACCCTACTACCGCAAAAACCGCCTTTTATACAGTAGACTATTATAATCATCACATTCACACAAAAAATGAAAGAAAACAATTCTGCAATTTGTTTTTTTTTAGCCTGTCAACTTACTATTGTGTTTCTCTCACTGGCGCATGCGCGCGTCGCATGACTAATTTTTTAGCGTGGTTACCTATGCCCAATATGGCCAGAACTTGAAAGATACTCACTATGATGAATTCCATGCAAAGGATTAATAACGCTCATGACAGATGTGCAGGAGAGACATTGAAGATAAGGAGAGTTTTCGATTTTCACTTTTGGGAGGCATCGTCATATGAGCTTTAAAAACTCATGAATTATTAGACAAAATCAAATGAGATTTTGGTTATATCTTTTTGAAAGATGATTTTAAAAGTTAGATAGAAATACTGAAAAAAAAAAATTGAAAGAAAAATAAATTTAATTCACCTCAAAAGTTTACTCTGCGTTTTTTTTTTTTCCTTTCAGTATATATAAAAATAAAAACTGTTTATAACACTTCATAATCCAAAAGAAGCCTTGATTATAATTTATTGTGGGGTATTGTTGTATAAAATATTAAAAAGTTGTACTTATTTATGTTATTGAATTTGGTATAATTCATTAATTTTTTTTGTCAAATTTTCTTAAACTTCCTTAAAATTTAAAACATCCACATCTGATTTACATTATTTCTGCCAACATTATATTGAGGACTAATGAAAGAGTTTAGTAGTACATTTACTGTAACCCGCTATGTACCTGTTTATTCGATGATCAGGTATATTATATATGTATATAAATCTAATAAAGTATGGAAATAATGTATTCTAATTGTCTGATATAATAAATCCAGATTTTTCAAAAGTTAAAAATGTAATCAAAAATACATGTATTATTAAATTCTGCTTAAATAGCAAGACAAGTTGAATTAAATATTTTGCTAATGCTTTTGGTATCTATCAACCTGAAACTATTCCTTAAAAATCCCTTCGTAGTGGTCAATACATGTTAAGTTTATTTATACTTGCAATAAAACTTACATGAACCAATATTTAGCACTGCATATTGAAATCCTCTAGTAAACTTTAAGTTGTCAGCTTTGAAGTTATGACACGTTACATCTTCATAAACTTCATGGACGAATGTTGACACGGCAGAGTATGCTCCAAGAATATCGATTTCTTTCTGTGCGGCATCAGAAGGAAAAATCTATTGAAAAACAACGATTACAAAAGAGCATCAATAAAAAGTTACATGCCTACTTATTATGAACAAAAGGTAATGCTTTGTTTTTCAAAAAGGTTTCATTAAACTTGTACAATTAAACTTTTTTATTTATAAAAAAAAGTTAATACAATGATTACAAGCTTTGAATGAAAATATGTCTTTAGAATAAATTTATTGTCATTTAGTTCTTATTATTTTTATCATACATCATTTATTATTTCTTTCAAAGCTAAATGGTATCTTTCATCCCATCTATTCGGAACGGTGAATATGAAGTGGATGTCATCATACTTTGGTTTATCTGACTTGTAGAGTTTGTCAATTTCATGTCTGGCATGGTTTGTAGCCCATTTCAAGTATTCTTTATAGATTTCCTCAGCTATGTGTTTCTTACCATTGCTATCCCTAACGTAGAATTTACCATCCTGAAAAAATCAATTAAGGGAGCCGACTGTAGTTTGCATTGCGCAATACTTCGCGCATCATAGTAAAATGAAGCGTATTTACTGTTTCAAAGCAACTTTTTTTCGCTGATTATTAAAATTAAACAAAATTAAGAAATTAAAATATAAAAATGTAATTACAATTTCATATAAATAGTTTTTTAACCGATTTTGCAATTGATGGGTAGGTTGGCCGGTACAGTGTGTTTTTGACGTTATGATAAATTGAAGATCTTAAAGAAAGGAGTAATCAAAATGTTATTAAAGAAAAAGTAATAAACATACGCTCTTAAAATTTATTTTTATGTTTTCATATGAATCTTTTGTGCCGGTCATATTTTGTATTACTCTATCAAATCAGGAAAATCGTTAATTTTTGACATTTTGAGATGCCCCCTCTGGTAACAAGACGGTAGAATTTTGTGTTTCTTACGTATATTGTATAATTTAGTTTTATTCATCAAATATTATAGTTTGAACAAAAAGTCTATTGTAGTATTTGTGTGATATGCTTTAAAGTGCCAAAAATTGACATTTCTCTATATAATCCCATAGTAAATGTACCTGTATTTTAAGACGGTCCCTCAAAAATACCAGGACGGTACATTTCCCCCAGCTTGACATGTACACTGATGTCAGTGTGAGATATATATGGTATAAAAATGAAGAGTTTCGCTATTGTAGTTTTCACACAATAAAACCCAAGTCGGCCCCCTTAAAACAAAATTGATGATTGAACGAATAATGTCTTATCCCCAAGGACGTTAACTAAAATCATTTATCGACCTTTGGAATTGATTATCATATTGTGGGCATTTTAACTGTTTACGAACAAGGTAAGCTGCAACTTTGATGTCAGAATTTTTTGTTGCAAAAACTGTAAATAACTATTTCAATGAAAGAAAAAAAATAATGTTAATAAACTTCTGTTGTTCATATTTGCGATGGAAGAACTATTCATAAGCTTCCATTAAATCAAAATTACATTATTGTCCTCCTGTACAACGATTTCTTATATAAAACGGTATATTGGACTTTATATATTAGTTTTTCTTCTGCTTTATTTTAGTCTAATTGATCATAAAGGTTTAATTAAGTTACATACAAATTTATCATAATAACATATTGTAACAGAAAAATAAAATTTTCAAAAAAGCAACTCATATTGTTTAATGAAAATGATCGGAAATAGTGACTTGTACCTCCGATTCAAAATGCATTTCATCAAAATAGGTGCAGTGCTTTACTTTTCCCTTTTTACAAAATTTTATGTAGTCTTTTAGTGCATCAAATCCCCATGAATGTAATTTGTTGTCATAGAGTAATAGCCTTATAGTTGTGTACGGTTTTGGAAATGTTCCATGATGATTTAATTCTACTTTTTCTGGATCGTCTCCTTTGGAAAAAGCAAAACCGCAAATTTTATCCCCAAACTGAATAGCTGCAACAAATATGTTCTTGGTGTGGTTGGTTACACCAGTATTTGAAGGTTCTCTGATATGTTGAGCTGAATATTGAAAATGAGATGATCAGTTATTTATTCGCAAACGAATTAATTTTCAGATACATATAATAATGCATTTTTAAACTGATTGTCACAAAAGATAAAAGGAGGGACAAAATTAATTTTTTAGATCTTTTTGATTTGATTAAAAACTATCAATTGAATTACTATATGAACACATACCATCAGTTTGTTGCAATTCATAATAACTACCAGATCCTGAAAGACAGATCAATAATTTCACTTCTTCAATGTTTGTAATGACATTTTGAAAAGAGAAAATAAATTTCGAACTTTTTTCAATTTAAAAGATTTCTTAATCTTGTAAAATTATTTACTTACTCAGTTTAGATAGCAACTTCACTCTTTCATTTTTAGAACCGCTTTGACCTAAATAAAATAAGATTGAAAATATTAATTGCAAAGGAAAAAGAATATTAGAATTTTTTCTTATAACAATTACAAATAATTTATCCTCCGTGGCAACTTATTCCACCTCTAATCCCACCTCTGATGTTTTGGACGTCCGTGTTTGCTCTGTTCCTATTTTGATATTGAATACTGTTCCTTATTTTCATACCCTTTGTCAACAAGAAAGATAAAAAAGAAGATGAAAAAGAAAGAAACTACAAACATGATAAATTAATATATGTAATATATTAAAAATTGTTTGCATACTTCCTAAAGGAAGCTTGAATGTATTGTTGGTATTCTGGACAGTCCGTTCTTCCGATCGTCACACTGTTTTCTCATCAAACTGCGCTTACATTTTAAGTAGTAGCAAATTAATGATTTTAATTACATGATTGGTGGTGTTTTATTACATGTACGAGTAAAGTAATTTTGAAATTTTTATCCTCTGACATTAAACTGGGGTAAAAATAACGTTTCCCAATAAAATTCGTTTCCTTAAAATATTTTATATATGAACAGTTAAGGCGAGAAATAGGTTTTTTAAATTCCATCATGCACCGTATATGAGTTAGGAATAAACAAAATGAGGTTTTCCTTAAAAAAAAAAAAAACCCTGGCTCCCTGTACTCCTGTATATTTGCAGTTACATATTTATATCTTGGATATGACTAAATTGTTCAAAATACAAGAATATGGAAATGACTTCTTAAAACAAAAGCCTGCTAAGAAATATGGGTCTTAAAATTTGCAGGATCATAGAAGTCCATTTTAAGTGGTCTTAGGAAGACCTTCTCTTTCTCTTCGTGGTGACCTAATTATACGTGCATTTTGTGAAGGCTTAACCTAGACAGACTTTTAAACTACTTCATCCACACACTCTCCAACATATTTAGCAGCAGTCTTATCAAATATTTGGGAATTTGCAATTGACTTCCCTAACAAAAAATATAGTTAACTATAGTTTACTACAGTTAACTATAGTCTACTATTGTTAACTATAGTTAATAAAAGTGTCAAAGTTTTCGATAAAGTTTTTCAAAGTGTCAAAGTTTTCGATAAAGTTTCTCAAAGTGTCAAAGTTTTCGCCAAAATTTTTCAAAGTGTCGAAGTTTTCGCCAAAGTTTTTCAAAACACATGTCAAAGTTTTTGATAAAGTTAATCAAAGTGTCAAAGTGATCACTTTAGTTAACGAAAGTTTTCAAAGTGTCAAAGTTGTGACTATAGTTAACTATAGTAAACTATCGTTAACTATAGCATTTTTTGTCAAAGATCGCTGGGTGCTCAACATGCATGCAACGTTTTTCCCCATATATAATTGCTTTTTATATTTCGTACATGTTTTATACAAGATTTCAAAATTTTCTCTTTTTTTTTCATATCAATTCGAGAGTGTTTATCAGTTTTCTCTTTTTAGGAATAATAATTATTTCATCTTTTTTTCCGATTTTGCAAGAGCAAACTTTTTTTTAAATTTTGAAATAAAGAAAAGATAAAGTATATACAAGAAACATCTTTCCTGGTTGGGGGGGGGGCTGCCCAGTAATTCTTGAGAAGAAGATTTGTAAAGATTTTTCCTATATACTCCTATGTAAAAATTTGATCGGCCATTTTGGTCCCACCCTACCCCCGGGGGTCATGATTTGAACAAACTTGAATCTACACTACCTGAGGATGATTGCACATGAGTTTCATCTCTCCTGGCTCAGTGGTTCTTGAGAAAATTTTTAAAAAACGCCTTTAATTTTTCTTTAATTCATAATTATCTCCCCTTGGAAAAGGGCGTGGCCCTTCAATTGAACAAACTTGAATTCCCTTTACCCAAAGATACATTGTAGCAAGTTTGGTTGAAATTGGCCAATTGGTTCTTGAGAAGAAGATGAATATGTGAAAAGTTAACAACGACAACAACGACTACGACGACAACAACGACAGACAACGGACAAATTTTGATCAGAAAAGCTCACTTGAGCCTTCGGCTCAGGTAAGCTAAAAAAGAGAAGTTTTGATGATTGATTTATTAAAAAAAATATTTTTAATTTTAGCAAGGTTGGCTGAACTTCGACGTTCATGAGTTTTTGAAACATATATAGAGTGATTATTTCCACTTTTTAAAAGGATAGACGTATCCCTAAGGATAAATTATACAAATTTTTTTTTCTCATATACATGTAAACAAAAATTTAACTATCCGTTGCTTTTCATGTGACATAAGAATTAAACATATCTCACCAGATCTCTTTTTCAAGTAGAGTTTCCAAGCTACAATAGCAAGGACTATGTTGAAAATTAAGGACAGAGTTAAAGGGATTATCCATAAAAATTGTAGTTCTTTGTCCTCTTCATGGCTTGAACTTTTCACATACTGACAGGGTTTTTTTCGATGAATAGCTGCATAGCACTCTTGATCTAAAAAAAAAAACAATTCAAAATCTAATTGGCATTCAAAACATGTCACTGCTAGCAGGTTCTTTAATGTAAAGGATGTATTTGTGAATATCATCAAGGAACATGATATGTGACTCTTGGGTGAGTATTACCGAATAAATTAAAAAGTAATACAAAATGTATTATGAAAGAAGATTCTGTAACTGAGAAAAACATATTAACACTTTTTTAAAACTTCAAATTAACTTCTTGCAATTTTCCTAAGAATTTCTTTCTTTTTTTGTGATAAAGTATATAAAATAGCTTATCACAATGTTTGTACATGTATTTCTAAAAATCATTTAATAACCTTTAAAAATTAATATGCATTTAGATGATTTTCCTTTGGATGGTTATTAAATATACTGTTAATTTTAAATGTACAGAGGAGTAAAATAGCATATCCTGGAAAGTTTAAGAATGTATGATAAATATCTCTCAAATGGACGATTTTCGTTTTAAAATTGCATGTATTGAATAAATGTAATGACATACGTCCGTAAGACAAGTTTGAATAGTACTGGAAAGGGCATGATGTACAATTCATATCAGCGCTGTCCTGAATTCGTCTTCCTATTATATTATACTCTGCACATTTGTATCCTGTAAGCAATAAAAGTTAACCAGCAATAATAATCTATCGTTATAAAAATGCTGTATAAAGGTCAAATAACATTTTTTCCTTCCAGTGGCCAGGAGCACAAATTTTAACTTCCTCTCATCGTTTTGATCAAAAATGCAATTGTATTTCATGATAAACATTTGGAAATAAAAAAAAATTACATTTAATGCACAAATAAAAAAAAACACTGCTGAAAAAGCATCTACGTACATAAAATGTATTTCAATTAAATGTTAAAAAAAATAAAATGATGTAAACAAGATGTGTTTGTGAAAAACTGATGCCCCCGTATGTCAGCTTATGACGAGGGTTGACTTCTCTCAAATGAATGTCAAACTCAAAAGGTCAGAGTCAAATGGTAAAAAATATTTATACCAGCTAAAAGGCTTTGTCACAATAAATACAATGTGAAGTATGAAAGCCCTAGCTCCAACTGTTCAAAAGTAATGATCAAGGATAAAGTGTAGTACATTTTTGTAAAAGTAGATCAAACTCCAAGGGCAAGGGATTAAAAAATTTGGTGGTACCCTAAAAAAGAGATTGTCACAAGGAATAAACCTGTGAAAAATGAAAGCCATAGCCCACCCAATCAATAGTTATGGGCTAGGTTGAAGTTGACAACAGACAGACAAAAAAACAGCTAAGCAGACAGACAGACAGGACAATAACAATATACCTTCGGGATCTTTCGATTTGGGGGCATAATTTCCACGTTTTTATTGAAAAAAAAATTTCATCTCATTTATTTTTGACGATGAAAAATTTCTTAATGAAATATATGGAGTTAATGAACAGTATTCAAACTCAAAAGTCCATGAAACAATACAAAATTGGAGCAAAGCAAACACGACCTCTTAATCATCAGAAGTGGAATCAGGTGCCATTAAGGAGTGAGTATGCTCTGCTAAAAAATATGCATTGTTTAATGATCTTTTGAGCTTAAATACTGTGCGTTATCTTATTTCATTCAATTAATAAACCTCTCTTCATCTCTCTCAATATCATGAATATACAAAAAAGAAACTTTAATAGATTTTGTGTTTGTCATACCTAATATCTGAGAAACTGGAGCACACACTTCAACTGTTTCGTTTAAGTATTCATTGATTAAGCAATGATATTGAAAATTGTTCTTTTCGGTACAGTCTTGCTTAATGTTGCCACAGTTTTTCATCAGAGAACGTTCTCTCCACTCTATCAAGGTCTTTGGGCATCTGTCTACATACTTCAAAGTTGTGTTCGATTCTTGACATGGATCTGTCGAAAGGATATAGTCCACCTGTGAAATATTTTGATATGCGATCAGACAAAAGTGATTTAATGTACCATCGTTTTCTATTTTTCTTTAGTTGTTCATCATGTGTCGAAAATTAACAGCTAGTGAAACCTTTTCATCTCTTTCTTTGGAATGACTGAACAAATTCAGTAAATTTTCGTATGTAGCAAAGTAAACACCACTAAAGTCTTGTATATTAAATTGCATCTTCTACCTGCGACACAATTGACATAGGCCCCAACTATAAAAATTAATGCAATCAATTTATGAATAAGGCAATCCGCCCCAAGATAATCATTATGAATAGTCAATAGATCTCTGAAGACTTTAGACTTGAGCGAATCAGATGTCATATAGAAAATCTTTAATATACAGAAATATTCAGAGAAGTTTTAAATAATCAGATTATTTTATAGTTAAGAAATAAATAAATAATAATGATGTAATAATAATGTGAATAATAATGTGACAGAAATAACTTTTATTTTCAAAAGAGCAGGAGAGGCCAATGTGAACAAGTGCCTTGTTCATTCTATTCAATATTCTATTTATATTGTAAATAAGAACATCTGCTTATAAAAGATAAAATAAACATTTTTTTTTCTTAAAATCGTGAGGAAATTGGAGGGGCAAAGTGCCCCAAAGGCCTTAAATGTCAGGTAAGTATTATTCAAAGCTGAGGGAAAGTGACAATCTAGAAAATGCAGTGAATACAGTTAAACTAATCGAGGAAGACGTAATGCTAAAATAAAAGAAGGACGATCGATTACATGTTCGTGTATCAACGCTCTGAAAGAAGGTCCAGATCTTTAATTTAGCTCAGAAAATTTATTTGCAAATTTTATGTCAATTTAAGTAGGTCATAAGTTGATACTTAACGTTGATATATAAGTAAATGTAACAATCAACTTACCATTAATGTGGACAGCAGTGCCTCAAGAAAAACGACAGAAGCCATTTTTGATTGTTTAGGTATATCCGTGGTTGTTATATCGTCTTTTCTTCTTTGAAATATTATACTTCCAATCTTCAGAATAGCTTCCTACATGTAGTAGTCTATTTTTCTTTTGCTAACAATGTATTTATTATGCATGAATTATTATTTTGAATGCATTTGGAAAAGATTTAAATGCATGACCTTATTCAAAGACATATCGTACAATGCAAACATCGATCTGTATATACCTTTAAATTACTTTGGGCAATTTTTGTGGCAGATATTTTTCAGTTAATGCACCTGACACTTCCATGTTAATGACGATTTGTATTTTTTTTCAAACACCATGTATAATTATAGAGATAAATGGAAATCTGCTCTCTCTCTCTCTCTCTCTCTCTTAAATAAAATGTATCACAGAACGTAGTAATTTTAATTCAGTTTAACGTAACAATTTTCAATCAATTTAAGTTTTTTCCTCTGCTTCAAAACCTCTTGAATCTCAAGTTTCAAGTCGAGAAAAGATAATTTGAAACTTATAAAACGACGCTCTAGTTACAAAAATTAACATCAATATAAACCTGCACAATATCCTGAATATAATGAACCATAAACAACAAAGGACAACTTACAAATACACTCTCAATTACAATAGTCATAAATGGTTACTTACAAAATGGAATATATGGAGAAAACCAACAGATGTATTCAAACGTCTTTTACAAACAGACAACTCTAGGCCTGTCGAATTGCTGAACATGTTCTGTCGTCCCTGTCCATTGTATCATATATCAGACATGTAAGTAAGATGTGCACGTAATATTTAAATATCTTTGAATACGGGTCATTTAAATGCTTGTGCAAAAGGCATCGTTGTCAATAAATGTTAACAAAGAAATGAACGAAAGACAACATTCGAAACAATTACAGTTTCTTTTAACGGCATAAACAACATACACATGGAGTTGAAATAAATGTAAAATGTTTATTGTAATCAAACCAAAAAAAAAACTTTTGTAATAAATATGATGACTTTAATCGTCAACTTCCGTTACTAATGCAGCACTATACACCTACATGTTTCATCTGCATTTGGGGTTTCAATTTCCCTGTTGAATCGACACGCAGGAATTGAATTTACGTGCAATATACTAATATGGAGATACCGAAATGGTATTAGGTGCCATGGAGGATCGAACATCCCCTGCCGAACGGTCAGAGCTGCTGTGTGCTTCTTGTCATAAATGGAAAATAACGGAAAAATCTATCGACTATTCAGTGTGAAAATAATTGTTGTTACATTTAAAAAGGTATTAAAAAAATGTCGGCCTACATTTCATTTAATGATAAATTGTGTTTGCTAATAAAGTCATTTTATCGACTATAGAACTTATGAAAGAATGACTTCAAATGAGACTGTTGATAATCTTGTATTATCAACTTCTTTGTCAATAACATACCTCAATTTAGATATTGTTCATATCTCGAACATTTTTCACATTGTAGCGTATCGAATGATTTAAAAGATATGAACTTCATTTGCAGGTGATGATGGTATATTGCTGTATAAGTAAGGGATGTCCCGATTGAAAAGTTATTCATCAATTTAACATAAATATTCGTTGTTAGATTACCATTAACATCCTTTTCATGTGAAATATCCAAATACATATGAAAATGATGTGTCAGACTCTGTATAATTTTTATTTCAAATTCACCGGGATATATCGTATAAAATAAGAATGGAATTAACCATTGTTAATTAACAATGCGTCGTCGATAATTCTAAATGTCTACTTGAATGCCACGCAAGAATTTTCTTCCTTTCGTGCATTAGATTTTGAACAAATAATAAATAAGTCTGCTAGTAACGGGACATAATTACACTACATTACATTACATAAGCTACACTCCTATCACAGAAATAATTAGATCTTTCCACCTTTCCGTGGAAACACCTATTGAAATTGTTCTGTTTATTATTATTTAGGTCTTTCCACCTTTCTGTGGAAAGACCTATTGATTTTCTTCTGTTTTTTAGGTCTTTCCACCTTTCTGTGGAAAGACCTCTTGAAATGCTTATGTTTTTTATTTTATTTCTCACCTTATGTTTTGACACCGTAAGACTTATCGAAAAACTTTATAGTTCATGATACTGGATATTTAAAGTTATTCCGAAAAATGAACCCCCATTTTTTAACTTAGACCCCTTACGCAGTTATTGGCCCTTTCACCGTTAAGCTTGTTATCGCTACTCCTCCGAAACCGTAAACCGTAGAGATATAAAACCTTCACCATTGTCTTCATCTAATCTAACTTTTCAATCTATTCATTGCGAAAGTTTTCTTTGACCCCTTCAATGAGTAACTTCCCCTGAAAGTTTATAAATTTTACAAAAAATAAAAAAAATTTCAAAACGAAAAGTCGTAGAGACATGAAAGCAACTGCATAACATTTAATGACCTTTTGCCTTCAAATTCATTTCAAGGTCAAAGGTCAAGGTCATTCCAAATATGAGAAATAAATTTCTCTTAATAGCTCTTATGTCCTTAAACATATACGATCTATCTTATGTCTTTAATATGTACTTTTGAAACTCTTTAGAAGATATAAATCTTGGCCCCTAAGATTGACCCTTTTAAAAGTTGTTGCCCCTTGTGCTAAAAACCCTTGTTATCGCTACTCCTCTGAAACCGTAAACCGTAAAGGTATGAAACCTTCACCAATGGCTTTGCCTAATTATGGGGACTCTTCAATCTATTCATTGCGAAAGTATTCGGTGACCCCTTCAATGAGTTATTGCCCCTGAAACTTTTTGAATATTACAAATAATTAAAAATTTTCAAAACGACAAGACGTAGAAACATGGGACCAACTGCATAAGATTCATTGACCTTTGACCTTCAAATTTATGTAAAGGTCAAAGGTCAAGGTCATTCCAAAAATGGAAAATTTAGCTCTTTTTATATCTCTTTTGTCTTTTAACATATACTTAATGTCTATGCATCATTAATATGTACTCTTAAAACTGTTTCAAAGATTTCACTCTTGTTCCCTAATATTAACCCTTTTAAAAGTTATTGCCCCTTGTGCGAAAAACCTTGTTATCACTACTCCTCCGAAACCGTAGACCATTAATAGGTCATTAATTTTTTTTTTTTAAATTTTCATTTATTTCTATGCTTTAAGAAAGTTCTGGTTTCTTTTTCATGGAATTTAATTTTTAGGAGTCATGTATAAAACAAATTTAAAATTCAAAGAAGGTGGAAAGACCTCTTATTGTTCTGTAAACAATAAGTCTCCTAGTTTTTTTTTATTTTTTATTATTTTTCCGCCGTGTAATTTTGAGTTTCAAGATTTATTGAAAGGATTTTAAGTTCATAAAACTTGAAATTCGTAAAAGATTTTCGCAGTTGACCCTGCGTATATAAACTATGACCCCTTTCGGAGTTATTATCCCTTTTGCAAAAAAGCTTGTTATCGCTACTCCTCCGAAACCGTAAACCATAGAGAATTGAAACCTTCACTATTGTCTTTGACTAATTTAGTAGACACTTCATTGATTCATTGCGAAAGTATTTGTTGACCCCTTCATTGAGTTATTGCCCCTGGAAGTTTTTGAATTTTACAAATAATTAAAAATTTTCAAGAAGAGAAGTTGTAGAGACATGGGACCTACTGCATAAGATTTATTGACCTTTGGTCTTTAAATCTATGGAAAGGTCAAAGGTCAAGGTCATTCCAAAACTGAGAAAATAAGCTCTTTTTATATCTCGTTTGTCGTTCAACATATACTTTATGTCTTTGCATCATAAATATGTACTCTTAAAACTATTTCAAATATTACATTCTTGTTCCTTAAGATTAACCCTTGTAAAAGTTATTGCCCCTTGTGCAAAAAAACCTTGTTATCGCTACTCTTCAGAAACCGTAAACCGTAGAGGTATGAAACCTTCACCAATGTCTTTGACTAATTATGGGGAGTTTTCAATCTGTTCATTGCGAAAGCATTCGGTGAACCCTTCAATGAGTTATTGCCCCTGAAATTTTTTGAATTTTACAAATAATTAAAAAATTTCAAAACGACAAGTCATAGAGACATGGGACCAACTGCATAATATTTATTGATCTTTGACCTTCAAATTCATGTAAAGGTCAAAGGTCAAGGTCATTCCAAAAATGAGAAATTTAGCTCTTTTTATATCTCTTTTGTCTTTAAACATATACTTAATGTCTATGCATCATTAATATGTACTCTTGAGACTGTTTCAAAGATTTCATTCTTGTCCCCTAACATTAACCCTTTTAAAAGTTATTTCCCCTTGTGCGATAAACCTCGTTATTACTACTCCTCCGAAATTGTCGACCGTAGAGACACCAAACCTTCACTAATATCTTAAGGGTCTGTAGCCCTAACTTGACTCTTTAAGTGCAAAAGGATCTGATGACCCTTATATGAGTTATTGCCCTTTAACTTCTTTGTACGTACTATTAAACCTTAGAACTTGAGAAAATATAAGTCGTAGAAGTATGGGGTCAATTGCATTGTGACCCTTGACCTCTGGCCTTGAATATTTTTTAAGATCAAAGGTCAAGGTCATTCCAATTTTTTTTTCAATTTTCATTTTTTCAATGCTTTAAGACAATTTTAGTTTTTTTTTTTTCACAGAATTTTATTTCAAGGAGTCAAATATAAAACAAATTTGAAATTCAAAGAAGGTTGAAAGACCCCTTATTGTTCTGTGAACAATAAGTCTCCTAGTTTTCTTTATTTTTTTTCCGCCGAATGGTTTTTTGTTTCACAAAAAATTTATTGTTCATAAGATTGTACTCCTTAAAAGATTTTTTCGTTTGACCCTGCGTATATGAACTTTTACCCCTTTCGGAGTTATCGCCCCTTTCGCAGAAATACTTGTTATCACTACTCCTCTGAAACTTTAAATCGTAGAAGAATGAAACCTTCACCAATGTCTTTGACTAATTGAGAGAACCTTAAATCCTTCTTTGCAAAAGTGTTACCCCTTCAATGAGTTACTGCCCCTGAAAGTTCTTGAATTTTACAAATAATTAAAAATTTTCAAATGAAGAAGTCGTAGAGACATGGGACCAACTGCATAAGATTTATTAACTTTTGACCTTAAGGGTCAAAAGTCAAGGTCATTCCAAAAACGAGAAATTAAGCTCTTTTTATATCTTTTTTGTCTTTTAACATATACAACATTTCTTTGCATCATTAATATGTACTCTTGAAACTATTTCAAAGATTTCATTCTTGTTCCCTAAGATTAACCCTTTTAAAAGTTATTGCCCCTCGTGCGAAAAACTTTGTTATCGCTACTTCTCGCAAACTATAGACCATAGAGACATCAAACCTTCACTAATGTTTTAAGGGTCTTTAGGCCTAACTTCACTGTATAAATGCGGAAGGATCTGATGAACCCTTATATGAGTTATTGCCCTTAAACTTCTTTGTACTCAATGTAAAACCTTATAACTTGAAAACTATAAGTCGTAGAAGCATGGGGTCAGATGCATTGTGACTCTTGACCTTTGACCTTGAATATTTTTTCAAGGTCAAAGGTCAAGGTCATTTCAATTTTTTTTAATTTTCATTTTTTTTCTATCCTTTGGGACAATTTTGGTTTCTTATTCATTGAATTTAATTTTAAGGAGGTCATATAAAATAAAATTGAAAAATTCAAAGAAGGTGGAAAGACCTCTTATTGTTCTGTGAACAATAAGTTTCCTAGTTATATAACACTTTCGAATGAAAACTTACCATTTTTTTTTACATAATTTCGAAAAAAAAGTTCATCATTTCCCGTTATCCATACGATTCTAGCAACACTTTCCAAAAAATTTCGAATGAATTTTCGATAGAAACAACAATTATTTTTCAAAGTATGCTGCGTAGTGTTAAACTTTTTGGATCTTTTTTGTTACGAACGACAAAGGATAGCTGATCGGGAATTAAACATACTGTTTGCTTTCATTATACGACGAATTGTAGAAATATATTTGCATACCTTATTCAAAAGCTTTATTTCCGCAGGAATCGCACATGATATTCATACTAATTACTTTCAAACTCCTATTTCTTGTGTTTATTTACATGAATTCTATTTACGTTTCACTTTCATTCTGCTAAAATTGATCAACAGTTATGACGCCATGGGTTTGGTATTTAAACCCCGTAACAAATACATATCTATATTTACCAACCAGAAACGACATGATTTTGTCTGTATTAAGTTTTTGCATGTTTCAATTCATTTCCACGACCTCAAATCAATTTAGAATATGGATTATCTCTAAAGCTCACGTCATATAGCTTACTATGACATCATATATGCAAGTAGAGAATTCGGTAGTAGCCTTAACATACCCGCGTAATTCTAACAAAATATTGTTTTTCAACAAAAGTACGTCTTGCAAATTAAGCATTTTTTTTTTCATTTTTAGATATTTACTCCAGTTCACATGATGTAGCAGATAGATACATGTCCTTTCCCGAACATCTAACTAGCTCATCCCCGTTTTCATTTACCATCTGAGTGTCAGTACAACTCATCTGTTCCAAATGATGATGACAAGGTGAAATGTAACTGGTTTCCGACGAAATTTCCGGTTTGATACGTTTGTCTTTTCTTCTAAGAGAAGTCTCCTTGAAAGAGCATTTAACACACTCAGACAGATCCTTCACCTCAGAAAAGCGTGGAGATAGTGCAGTTAACTCTATATAATATCTGTTTTGAGTTTCATCAAAGGCAAGTTTTGCATCCGCTTTTCCATTAAAGATGAAATTCCCTTTTAATTCGGTGTGTTTATCCAATTCATGGTAATGTTCCTCTGCATTTTCTTTACCAAAATCTTTGTTACATTTTGATTCTTTAGATCTCTTGCACCTACTTTGAATTGTTGTTAATAGGAAAAATATGAAGATCAAGGACAAAAGCACTGTTGTCGAAAACATCCCAATTTGTACGGCGTCATGGCCAAAGGTTAAATACTGAAAATGATCTTCTTCCGGAGTAAATGTAGCATTACATTTGTGGCAGTCAGGAACCTGGATTTTAGTTTTGTTATACTTATCAAAGCTATAGTCATGCATCGTTTTAATCTGTTTAATCGGGATGCTGTTATTTGCACTTGTATTGCTGTACTCTGCAAACCAAAAAAGAAAAAAAAAATAATTTCTTGCACTTTTTGAAAAATGCTTAAATAATTTGATCGTCCAATTAAACATATCAGTATTATTAAATTTTTTAAGAATATCGAGGTTTTTAGGTGAAACCTTTTGTATTCAAACACCCTTTGGCTCGGTGGCATTTATCTTTTTCACATGTACACATCCTGCTACATAATTCTCCATAAGATGGGTAAATGCATACTCCAGTGCAATTCACTCCATAACGACCTGGTGGGCACTCTGTCAAACATATATGCATCAGTTGATGTAAAAATAAATATTATAGAAAATGTTTGAGACGCCGATTCATAATGGTGCAATTAAAACTAGTTGAGAATCGATTTTATTCATTCTAAATAACTTAAGCAGCAGAAAATATAATTAAAACAGTACACATTGTATGACTTAATTTTATACAAATTGAACTATTCGAATATGATATGAATTTTGAAGCATCTGACAAATTTATATCAAGTTTGTTAAACAATTGGTCTTATATATAAACGCAGAAATAAATAAATCATAAATCGTACCTACTCAAACACTCTTTAATTTGTTGATTCCAGATGTATCCGGAGCAGCACACAAGACCATCCTTTCTGTAACGATAAAGTACTGACTGTATTCTAAACTATAGGTAATTACTTAAGAAAAATAAACAACAATGTTAAAAAATTCACTGGGAAGGGCCTCTCAGTAGATTTGATCACGTACCAACCAAAAGTTCATTTCCCAGTGAACTTTTTAACATTGTTGTTTATTACTTAAATATTTACATTTGAAACGAATAAAAGTAAAACTGCATTTCTTACCGGAACGGACCGCCGTAATTGCTATGTTGTAACGCGCAATGACCTAGAAGTTGTTTAGGGTATTAAGTTCAGCTCGCTCCAACATTTGAATGTTAACATTCATGTTTAGCAATCCAGTTCAGGAAACATATGTTTATAGTGAAAGAACAATGAACGCTGCTGAGAATAATTTAACTATTTCATAAGTTATTAAGATATTTGAAGTCAAAAGCGGTGACCAGTGTCGTCTGTTTCAGTTTACAAAACACTTAAGGAATTTCGGGTTAAAAAGGTAAGTGCAGTTTTTGGCTAATTATAGTATTCAAACCTTATTCACTTCAAAAGAAGATTTAATGTACATCTCGTGATTGAAAAATATCCATATTGAATATCATTTTATTTTTTTCATCATTATTAACTTTGAAATATTACAAAACAAGTTGCACAGTGAGAGAAATATGTAGAAAAAGTATCACATCGCTCTGTGATTCGGTCGTGCTATGATCTCTGACCCCCAAATAAAGTTCACACAGAAATGAACATAATTTCTCTTCAATGGGTTCATCTAAGAAAGATATTTGCAAATATAAATATATAAAATTAAACATTTTGAAAATTAACTAAGGCATACCCTCCACATGTGGCGGAAGAGAAACCAAATAGAAACACAGAATACAGGATTAACTTCTCCATCACCTCCCTCGATCTCTGTAAATATATGAGTTTTAAACTGTATGATTTTTTTTACATCCTTCCTTTTTGCAACACTTCATGACTGTTCGACTTTTTTGTAAATTAATTGTTTAAATTAATTATACCCGATAAGGAAATTAATGTTGAAATAAATACTTATCCCTAAAATCAATTATATATAAATACCAGTAGAACTTTATGATTACCGTGGATCATAATCAACTTCGAATAAATTTTAATTAATATATCTTTTTAAATAAAATCTCTCCATCGTTAAATGAATTTTTCATAGGTGTAGCGTGCAAAACAAAAATGTTTTAGAGTATTGCGTTTTTGTTTTTCAACTAAAAACAAGAAATAAAAATACGTTTGCAAAAGATACTCAATATGGCATATTTGTCAAAACATGTATAATGAAAACCTCGTACAAAAAAGGTCATCGAAGGACAGTATGTTATATGATCTCACTGTCTTGGGTAGAATGTTTTTGTGTTTCACTGGACGTCCGGTGTAACGACGAAAAGTGACCCCCGTAGAATTTTGACCTGGGGGTCATTTTCTACGCAGAAAAATGACCCCCGGTCAATATTCTACGACAAGTAGGGTCATTTTTCGACTGTAGAAAAACATTCCAGACCAGTAATTCTACGACTTCACACATGTTGAAAAATGACCCCCATAGAAATTTGACCCCCTACTTTTTTATACTATAACACCTAATATCTGTGTCTCCTGCTATTTTTTCATACTTTCAAATGCAATTAGGGGAATTTTTTTTTGTACTTCAATCCTTTTCAACATATATTTGATTGCATATCTTAATAGTAGCATCACAATCAATGTATCTGGTATGGATTTATTTTTGGCTCGCAGAATCCCAATAAAATACTTCAAGAGTACTATGCAGCAATACATTCAAGACGTGGTGTGAATCAGATGTGGATACTCAAAAATTTCAAAGAACTTTTTGAAAATTTGAAATCTTAAGATTTTTCCAAAATCAACAGCTTAAAAACTTAAGACTTTTCAAGTTTATACACAACCATTCCCCACGACAAATTTAATTTCAGGTTTTTTGATATCATTGACAGCTGCTTTTCAATGAGATGGAACTCGAAAATTTACTTACCTGGTCATTGGTCATTTGCAAAATTATTTTGTTAAAACATATTCTGATTGCACACACTAGTACTCTGAAGTGTACATCAAAGATGCTTGAGTTTCTGATTGACAATACATGTATCTACGTGGTTTTTTTGAGACCAGGTCTTCCAACAATCTATTAGAATTCCCATGGGTACCAATTGTGCTCCGTATCAGCAGACCTTATTTTGTATTCGTTTATAGCAAAATAAAAATACTTGCTGTGGCCTTCAAATCGACATTTAGATATATCGACGAAGTATTGTCAATTAACAGTGGTTATTTACATTCCTACGTCGATAAGATATATCCTGGTATGCTAGAGATAAAATACCCGGTATACCACAGTTTCTGACATATCTGTTTCATACTTGGATATTTTACTTGAAAAAAACGTTAATTGTAATCTAACAACCAAGCCATATGATAAAAGTGATGACTTGAACTTTTCTATCGTCAACTTCCCTTACTTATGCAGCAATATACCTTAATTCATCACTGCATACGGAGTTTATATAACTCACTTTTTTCGATACACAAGAACATGATCTACGAATTAACAATTTCTAAAATGAGATAAATTATTGACAAGCAAGTTGATGAAACAAGAATATCAGTAGTCTCGTTTAAAGTCATCAATTAGTAAGATCTATGGCTGATACTATGACCTTGTCAGCAAATACAACTTATCATTGATTCAAATGCCGACAGACGTTTTTCATACTAATCGTTAGTCCATTATTTATACACTGAATTGACGGCGGATTTTTCCGTTATTTCCCGATTATGACAAGGAGCACACCACGGGTGTGAACGGTCAGTAGGGGAGGCTCACTCCTCCATTGTACCTGATCCCACCTCTGATGTTTCGGAGGTCCGTGTTTGCTCTGCTCCTATTTTGTATTGTGTAATGGACTTTGATATTGAATACTGTTCGTGATCTCCATATTCCTTCTTCGCTGAGAAGCATACATTTATGATTATATTTTTTGGTGATTTTTTTTTTATCATTCAAAGGTTTTGTTCCGAAAATGGCATGATATGTTTCTGATAACCATAAACTTTTACAAATCAAAAAGCACTGCATAGAAGCCAGAAAAGAAACGTAATTTAACTATATAAATTCAATTCCCTTAGCTTTTACCTTTCAACTTAGATATACATCTGTATGCATTCTGCTTTAAAATACATACTTTTTAACTACCTTATATAAGGCACTATACTTTTTCCTGTATATAGGGAAAACGGGAAATACCATACACATCGAGAACGTTCTTATAATGATATTTTAAAAAATCCTCTAAAACTAGCAAAAATTTACATCTGAGTGAATAATAGTTCAACGTTCAGAGATATCTATAAATTCAAACAAGAGGCCCACGGGCCTTATAGGTCACCTGAGTATCGTGCAACAACTTTCAATCAATTAAAATTGGTTCGTGTTTTAAACCAGATGCCATGAAATTCACAATTCACAATTTTGAAAGTGGCACAAGTGCTTATCATAATTATAAACTTAGCATGCTTACTCTATTTACCTAATACCCAGATGTAAATCAGAGTAACAATGAGAAAATGCACTTCCACTTTATAACCAGTTGTGCAATCTCACCTCAAAGGAACCACTGACCCTGGGGCCACATATTTCAAAATTTTGCAAATTTTATCATAAAATGGTTGATTAATACTAATGAGCAGATTTCAAAGCATTAATTTATTTTCAAATTATAACCCCCCCCCCCCGACCCAGGGGGCATAAAAAATAACCATTTTACTATTTGCACCTTTCTTCATCATAAATATATATACTTGGATCATTGGCATAAAACCCAGGAGCAAAGGAAAAGATTTTCAAAGAATTAATGCATTTTCCCTATATAATCAATAGAGCCCCACCCTAATGCCAGAACCCATGACCCTGGGGCCATAAAATTCACAATTTTGGAAGAGGCACTCTTGCTCATCATAACTATGTACTTAGTTAGTTTATTTAATACCCAGAAGCAGAGTAAAAGATTTTCAAAGAATTAATGCATTTTCACTATCTGATCAATAGAGCCCCGCCCTAACACCAGAAACCCTGACCCCACGGCCATAAAATTCACAATTTTGAAAGAGGCACTCTTGCTCAACATAACTATGTGTTTAATTAGTTCATTTAATACCCAGAAGCAGAGAAGAAGATTTTCAAAGAATAAATGCATTTTCACTATCTGATCAATAGAGCCCCGCCCTAACACCAGAAACCCTGACCCATGACCCTGGGGCCATAAAATTCACAATTATGGAAGAGGCACTCTTGCTCAACATAACTATGTACTTAGTTAGTTTACTTAATACCCAAGAGCAGAGAAGAGGATTTTCAAAGAAATACTGTAGATTGGCAAATTTTCACGATGGTTTTAATTTCACGATGTTCGCGATTCGTCATTTTTCCGCGATATTAAACCCATCGTTAACGCTGCTATTGGTTTTAAAAAATGTTATAGTGCGTATACGAAATTGAAACCAAGTTCTTGCAGCGTGAAATTAAAACCATCGCCATTGGTACTTTTTCAGAAATCGTGAAATTTTACCACCGTGGAATTAAAACAACTTACAGTAATTCATTTTCACTATATAATCTATAGAGCCCCGCCCTAGCACAAAAACTCCTGACCCTGGGGCCATGAATTTCACAATTTTGGTAGAGGACTCAATGCTCATTACATTCATAAACAGTTTGCCTGCTTGATGTCCAGGAGTAAAGAAGATTTTTAAAGATTGCAATAATTTTAGTGGTTTTGGCTCCACCCCTCAGGCCCCAGGGGACGAGGACCATAAAATTCACAATTTTTGTTTCCCTTCACCCAAAAATGATGTATACCAAATTTGGTTGAAATTGGATCAGTGGTTTCAGAGAAGAAGCTGAAAATGTTCAAATGTTAACACACGACGGACGACGAACGACGGACGACGACGGACAAAAACAGATAACAAAAGGTCACCTGAGTTACTCAGGTGACCTAAAAATACCTTTCATTTTCAACACTTTTTAGCCCACAGACTCCTGTCAAATGGTTGCTGTAACATACCCTTTCTTCTGAGATTTTATAGACACTAACTTTGCATATATGTAACTTCGATATCTAAAGCATGCAAAGTCCTGGCACAAACCGTCCAAAAGTTAATGCCAAAGTAAAAGTTACTTTACTAGGAATATTTGTGTAAAAGTGTGTCAAACTCCAAGGCCATGGTCAAAAGGTCAAAATTGGTTGTACACAAAAAAGGTCTTGTCACAAAAATACAACTGAAATATGAAAGTCATAGTCCCATCTAGTCTAAAGTTAAGGACAAGGTTCAAGTATTTGCGGACAAATAGACAAACAGACAGACGGACGGGCAGGTAAAAAAAAACTATATACCCCCGAAACCGTATAATATGTAAAGTAACAACTTTTTCATAATCCAACATTTGTTATTGTTTTTTATATTGGTAAAAAACTCTTAAAATCATCACATGTAAGTACATGTAGAACGGGGAAAGCGATACTACATGTGCCAATTTTTGGAAAAACAAGCACCTCTTTTTTCAGTTAATCATGTTTTATGCTACAACCCCCATTTTGCTATGATTTTGTTGACACTAGCAAACGACAAGACATTTTACAGGTTTTGAGCTAACCACATTTTATTTCCTTTGTATCATAGGTCAGAGGCAATTTAATTTCGTACTTATTTTTACAAATTAAATCATCCCTATTCTTTATGAGAAGGTTGAAACTTCAATCATAGAATACGAATTTTTTTTTATAAGATCTAATTTTATAAGCTAGCGCCCTTTTTTGCGCCAGTTTTAATAGTCTTGTCCCATGATCCCTTGCACAATAACCAAGTCATGGGACAAGACTACAGTTTTAAAAGTATAGGGATCAAAAACGTAAAACTTTTGAAAAATAAAAAAAAATTATTTTGAGTTTTGCAAATTATTTATTCAGGGTAAAATCAAAGAGATTTATAATTGATTAATTATGGAAAATTTTTAAACTGTTTTTCAGACACCAGCGAGAAAATAACCTTTTTTAAAGATTAAATTGACAACTGTGGAAACTTACTGTATAAAATGTAATAAACTATTCTATGAATGTGCGTATCTTTGCTCTTATAGCATTAGAACATTTTAATAGATATTGTTTTTTCTTTAATGGGGATAAAACGGTTTGTATTATTAATGTTAGCTATTGTATAGCTTTGATTTCGTTATTTAAGCTTAAAAGCTTTCAGAAATTAACACTTCAAAGCATAAGCCAGCTTAATATTACCCGTATTCATTCGCCTAACAAGAAAATTCCTACAAAAACGAGTGTTTTTGCATCTCAAAATGACAATTAAGGGGTCATTATTCTACGGGGTCAATTTTCTCAATGCACACGGAGAAAAATGACCCCAAGGCAATAATTTCTACAGAGAAGAGGGTCATTATTCTACGTAGAATATTGACCAAGGGGTCAAATTTCTACGTAGAAAAATGACCCCCGGTCAATATTCTACGGGGGTCACTTTTCGTCGTTACACCGGCACCGAATTCACTCTGCTGGGAATTTCTTTGCTTCGTCCATCAGATGACAAGTCAATCTGCCCTTAAACCTCTTTTGCAAAGTATAAACAAGTTTCATAAACTCATGTTTGTGTTGTTTAATAAATTCAGTCATGTGTATCTCTTGTGGACAGTTTTGGAAAAAAGCTAAACACATCACTAAATCCACATAATCTTGTGATGTAGCAAAGTTTAAATAAATAATTTACGAAAATGTTATATCGCCATTCAATTCTCATTATGTATGATAATTTATAACATTTACATATAAAAACTAAGAAATATAATTCACATAATAAAAATGTTAAAAAGTACTAGTATTGAGGCCCAAGCATCTATTCAAACAGTAATATACAATTTGTCAAATCAGTAGAAGAGCAAACATTGACCTCGTACATGTCGTATTCATTAGATATGGGATCAATCACCATGGAGGAATGAACATCCCTTGCCGATCAGTCACATCTGGTGTATATTTCTTGTCATAATCTGGATATAGCGGGCAAATTCGTAGACAATTCAGCGTGTGAAATTATGGATTATTAATAAGAATATTACATGAATAAGTTGACTTATGTGTACATGTGTATATCATTTGCTTATTTCAAATCCAATTAAATTCAATATATGTTCTCTTGATCAAACATCTTTTTCAGATTCGGAAGATAGTTATAGACGGATTGACTGTCGAACATTTACAAAAAAAAAAATATTACAATATTTCCGGGAAAAGCACTTATATGAAAATCATTATAATTGTTTAATTTTCCACACAAATCTATGTATACACAAGTGGAAATAATTTCCCTTAATTAAAACGGGAAATCATGAAATATATTCTGTTAACAAGGCTGGCGTTAAAAAATGAAAAATATAACACCTATATATATTTATTCGATGAAATATTTAGACATAAACAATTTTATTTATATATACGAGGGTTGAGACAAAGATTAGTGAAATTGTTAACTATTTAATTCATTTAATAGTGGAATTAACTGGATACTCAGAAAAAATATTTACCCTTTTGATTTTTTTTAAACAAAAAAATATTTCGAGTATTTATGATAACAGTAATACTTTGGCAGTCACAATAGAAATAAATGTTTGAAAATGCGGAGGAGGCTTTAACTCGTTCATTATCATTTCAATTCTTAATACTGAAAGTGAGAAAAAGCCAGCTCGAGGTCAAACAAAGTGCAAAATATGTCATGACTAGGATTGTTTAGGTTGTAATGAAGATTTGTTTCTTAAGTTTAATTGCTTTTACTGGATATTTAGTTTTTTTTCAATTGACAATTTGATGTTCGTGTCATTGTTAGACATGACACTGTGAACGTCCATTCAGAAATGAATGCAATATTTTTCCTTTGACCGACGTATCAAAGGAAAAAATTTGGACGGAAAACGCCATCAATGCGCGTTGATCTCTGACTAATACATGTAATACACAAATACTAATAATGCAAGCAAAAAAGCAGTAAGCAAAGGCTTTCACGCTAGCGGGAGAAATTAAAGGAAAATCAAACTACCTCGGAGGATGATAAAAAGATTGGCCGCCTATTGGAAGGTCATTTTTTTCAATGTAGACAAAGGTTGTGGACCTCTGACGCATTGTGCTTGACATTGCTACTAAATTAGAACATCACTTGGAGTTCCGTGCTTGCTCTGCTCCTACTTTGTATTTGTTTTATTAACTTTTGAGCTTGAACACTTTTCATTTTCTCCATACATTTCATGGAAAGACGAAGAGTATTTTAAAACATAATTGAGTTTGGCATGCTCATAGAAGGCGACATGACACACTTACTTTTACATTACGTCGAAATTATATTTGCTGATATATCAAGGTCAAAAAAATTTTTTGTTTATAGACCATAGAATATATGGAGATAACTTACGAAATGATAAACAATATTTTAGCAAAGATTCTTGTTTCTTCAACTTGTATGTCAATAATTTTACCTCGAAAAATTCAAATCAATAAAAAATGATTGCTCTACTATTTTTTTAAAAAAAAAATCTACATTTGATCTAACAGTATATTCTTTGTTGACGGGTTTTTCCTGATCATGACAAGGAGCAAACATGGGCCTCCAATTCATCAGAGTTGGGAAAGTGACCATCCCCAGCCGACAAGTCATATTCGCGGTAAAAATCACAAAACGTCAGTTGTGCAATTGAAAGAAAACGAATACAATTGACGTCCATCAAAGCTTGTGTTCGATGTAGTTTAATGGAAACAACAAACGACAGACGAAATATTCTGGCGATTGCAGAAATAGCGTACATATGTGATAAAGGATTTCTTGAGTATCAAACAATGGTAATGATTTATAAATTCTCATCGGTAGATTGAATATGTTTGTGGAAAAAATTTGTAATAAAATCACCAACTTTAAAATTAATTGAGCTTAGACTTTCTTACCTCAATTCAAAATTGTAAAATTAAAGGATTTATTAGAGCGAATATGGCGTTTCTTTTCCTTTGACGTTCAAAACTGTCTTATTGTAATTTCAAAATTAAATACATTTCTAAAAATCATTGTTTTTTTTTTATTTTTTCAGTTTAATTTGGTTAACTTGTGAACCTTGTATAATCAAACGAGAAAAAAGAATTCAATCAATGTTAACAAAAATCTCATCCAATTTGCATCAAGTGAGACTGCTGATATTATATTTTTGTTTCATCAAATTGTTTGTATATAATTTACCTCTTGTTAGAAATTGTACATATGTAGAGCATGATCTTGTATGTCGAATCAATTGTGGGATATAAACTCCGTATGCAGACGATTAAGGCATATGGCTGCATAAGTATGCAAGTTAACGATTGAAAGGTTAAAGTCATCACAATTATCAAAACGCTTAATAGTTAGATTACCATTACATGAGTAAGATATCCAAATATGAAACGAATCTGGTATTTTTTTTTATCTCAAGCTCACCGGGATATATCGTATCGACCTAAGAATGGAAATAACCATTGCTAATTGACAATACGTCGTCGAAACATTAAAATTTTAATTATAAAAGTTGTCCCTTCTTCAAATAACCTTAATATTTTGAAAACAGTGGCCCCACCTAAACACTGCATTCTGATAGTAAATATTGCTCTCTTAGTTGTCTTTAAGCTGTGAAATATTACATCCATTAGAAAAGGTTTGTGATATTGACTACCCATCTTTCCTTTAATAACCTTGATGCATAAAATAATTTCCTGCCGAGCAGGTGTGACCGAGTTAAGAATCTATCAATATACCTTATTTAAACATTAACAGACACTGATTTAATAAACATGAAAACCGTAATTAATTAATTAATACTCAGAGCTTCTCTGAAACCCATATTGAATTAAATTATGCCATTAAATAAGTTGGTTTAGAAAAGAAAAACAACAAAGGCGCGATTTTAAATATTAAAATTAACCCACTAGCGCATAAAATTATCATTCAATATGCACTGGGAAAAGAAGACGAATTACTTTTGAATTAATTGCTGTGATTTATGGCGGTTTTGTCACGTGAAAGCTTCAACGAAACAGGTATAGTTGTCCCAAAACCAAATTTATTGCCCCGTCTTGCACAGTTCGTAAGTATATTTTACTTTTTCTACCATAAAGTCTTTTTAAACGATATAAACTTTAAAATTCTATACAATGTATAAAATTGAAATTGTAGGTCAGAGTGATCGTAATAAACTTTTTTCACTTACTACATAGGTTTATTAATATGGAAATCAGTTGTAAATCTGTCAGAACCCTTAGCACAATTGTATAGGTCAGGTATAGCGATGTAAAATATTGACATATACTGTGTACAGAGGACTTGAAAGAAGATGTTTTCTGGTCCAGAATGTATTTTCTGTAGTGTACGAGGTTATTGAAAATGCTTTTTGAATCTGTCACGGTGAGACCATTCACTGTGATCTAATGAGTTCCTTTTTCTGGAAGTACATTTTGATCCAAAACATATTTTGTGTTTCCAAAGCAAAAACATGGGCACTGCCATTCTTTTTCTATAAAACTGAAGAGCCCCATCTCTTATCCACAACTCCTCCTATGCCACTAAATAAAAGTAACTGATACTTTCGCAGATTCTTTCTAAATTAATGCCGTACATAGTCCTTTCTTTTTTGATATGACACTTATTTTGAGTCTCCCAGAGCAAAACATAGACTTTTCAGTTATAATCATATGGGAGACTAAGGTATCAATAGAGAGGTCAGTGCTCTAGTTTTGATATGTATACTGTTACATTCTTAAAGTCTTTTAAGATAATTATCTGAAACTTAAAAAATCGGGCATCCCCAATATTGTGCAATACACTTCCAACTTGAAACTGATTTCATCTTTGATGTTTTAGAGGTCTGCGTTTGATCTGCTTTTGATCTGTATAGTTAAATTGGACTTTGTACTTAAGTACTGTTGGTTAATCGTTATCACTATATTTCATGAAAATATACAACAAACAGTTATCAAGCTTAATGGTCAATTGAAACAATACAACAGAGGAGCAAAGAAAGCACAGACTTCAAAAACCTAAGAGGTGCATGGGTTCAGGTGTTAAGGAGGAGTAAGCATCCCCTGCTGACCCGTCACACCCGTAATATGATCCATTTTATAATAGTGAAAACTGAAAAAAATACGTTCACTATTCAGTGAAAACAATAACCCTTGATTTGAGAGTGTCAGTCAGAAATTTATTGTTTTTTCATGCTAAGAAGTTAATTACATGGACAATAGAATTTGCAAAATTTTATTATTAACCGAGACTGTTGAGAATTCTAAAAAATGTATTATCATTATATGTTAAACAGCAAGAAAATCTTTACAAAAATGAAAGCAAAGTTTCATTTTTTTTACATTCATTTCCAATAAGCAAAGTTTCAAAGATTCAAATATGATGCTGAATCAGCATTTGTACATATTCTATCCTTTATTCCTCTGAGTGTTTTCAAATTTTTCAGTGGCGGTGAGTTTCTTGAATCTAATACAATATGCTTTAAAAATTCTATTTAAGGTCGCCCAAAATTATGAACTTTGGACGACCTTAAATAAAATTTTCTAAACATATATAACCACATTGTCAATTTAAAACAAAATTTGATTTAAAGATATAAATTGACATAAAATCATCATATGCCCCATACTCATTCAAGTTTTAATTTTATCATTTTTACAATAGACCCTTGAGGTCTTAAAAAATGCCTTGAATTATCCAACAACCCGTAGTTCTGGACAAATTGAAAACAAAAGATGGTGCACCTGCATGATGAATAAGTGATAAACAGGAAATGATTATCATTTATAATACCACAGGTAGCTCCTACATTGATCAAACACGTAAACATTTATCTCAATTCATCTAAAACACTGATCAAACATTTCTGACACTTATTTTTAGGAAATTCATTATGAAGGATTTATATTGTTTTCTCAATATACCAATATCTGTTGAATGTGTGAATACATATTCTTTTTTCCTCTGTCTTAATTATTTGTGAAGTGAAAAATTTTACACAAAAGCTGGAGTGAGTAAAAATGTACAAGTACATGTAGGTACGCCTTAATCTTTGTCTCATTGTATCTTTGATATGATTGCACACATCAAATTATTTCTGCACAGAAGGGCAAGATTGCACATCAACTTTAAATAAATTTACACCTAGTCATTATTTGACAAACAAAAACAAAAAACAAAAGAAACAACAAAATATAAATTAAATGAAAATTAAGATTCATGAGCAGCAGAGATTAGAACAAGTCATTTTCCTAATAAAATTTCTATCATGTATTAGATTCTCATATCATTTTCCTAGGACTGTTGTTCTGTTTCCATGTAAATATTTTTATATGTAAATACCAGGGAGGGGCTTCGACATCAGCACATGATCATCATACTAATGTTAGTACCCAGACCTTAGGTATAATGCCTAAATTGCCCATTCCATCCTATCATGGTCAACTGGTATGAACAATGCTCACTGACAGACTTACTATCCGTATTTTTAAGGTTCACCTATCTGTTCTGAATATGAACTACTTTAACAGCATCAATTAAGTGAGTTAACAATAACCGTTTTGTTGCTTGATACATGGCCTTCCTCAGGGGTTCACGGTGACAGATACAACACTGCCAGAATGTGGTTTACGTCCTCGTTCAACTCTGGTTATTGTGTAATAGCTATAAATTTAATGTTGTGTCACTGCTTTTAGCCCACGTTCTTTATTTTCTTTCCATTTTCTTTAGCTTTAACTAGAAAATTGCTTAATTGTTCCTTTCAGATTGGAGAAAAGGCCTAAGCACAATGAAGGTGAAATGATGGACTTGTTGTAGTTTTGTCAAACATTGCAACGTTATAAATTGTGTGATGAGATTCGTATCGAAGAAAGTTGACCTGAAATATTCTGGGAAACAAAAATACTTAAAATGCATCAGAATCTTACGCAAACTATCATTGGAGACAGTGTTCAGAATATTTCCTGGGAACAGCCATATGTCCCAACAGAAAATGAAGGGAGCACCATAATTCCTTGTAGTGTGAAACTAGATGAAGTCAACCTTTACATTATTATTGGACTGGAGTCATTACTCTTGTGCATTTTTATCGCTACGACTTTCTATCTATATTTTCACAGGACAAAAGAGGTTGGCATAGAAAGAATGGAAAGTAAATCTAGCCATACCGGTGCTTCTGAAGAGGGGGTGGATTATCAGAGCGCCTCAGAACCTCAACTCATGCACTACGAAACTGTCATTAGTGCTAGTCGGCGCTCGTCAATAAACTCTGAAAACCCTTATGAGATTATCGTAAATAACAGAGGTGCAGATGTGAGGAGCCTTGAAAGTAACAATAATGTTTTAAACAGAAGTTACGAAAATATCACTGAAGATGATGGCATGTATAAAAAGACGGAAGTGCCGCCATCTTTGATTATTGACTGCAAAAAACTGGAATCTGTTCCGGTGATTATTGATGGTTGTACTGAAGTTTTCTGATTACGACAACCGTGCTTTGTTCTGTGTGATGGATCGTAGTGCCAAAAATCATCAGACGTCATGTGGTATAATTTACTGATTAATATGCAAAATTTGTGGTTGAATAGCTAGAAAGACTAATTATTATGTGAAATTTATGTGCAGTGTTTGTATTTTGTGTCTAAATGTGATTTTCAATTCAAACAATATTGAAATTTTCTATGCACAATTCATGTTTTTATAGTCATTTTTTTTAGCAAACAATAAAAAATCCTTGAACACTCCTACAATTGATTAATAAAACTGTGCAAGAATGTAATAAAAATCCCCACCAGATTTATACCTTTAGTAATCTTACGATTTAGCAAAAAGAATAATATAATTGAAACATATATATAATCTAAACTCAGTTGAATTGCAGAGTCATTCCTGCCCACGAAACTTCGCACCTTCTCCAGCATTATCACCCTAGCTGTTTTTTAAAGTACATTATACATCAGAAACATACTTCTATAGACCTATTTCTGGATTGATAATCCATCAGGTATTTTAATTTGTTTGAAAGGCGGTCAATTAAGTCGTATATATCATGGTGAATCTTTCATTTTCAAATGTCTGAACTGGGTATTTCTGTTTGAAAGTTATGTTTATACGTGTTTTTTGTTGTTCAACGTCCCAACCGATAATTTTTCACTTATATGAAGATGCCAGCACTTGCGGTGGAGATTGTCAAATTTTTATCTGTTATGTTAATTAGGGCCATTGAGCAGTGAGGAATCGTTTTCGTAACAGTATCCACTGCGACACGGGACTTCTCTTCTATACGGCCTCGAACCCGCGACTCTAGACCGGACGCTCTACCACTGCACCACGTGCACGCAGGCGACACTCTGTTTAAAAAAAGGTACTCCATTATGGTACTTTAAGAATTATTATTAGACCTCATTATAAATATTCTAAACAACGCGTTATCTGATTGGTTCTAAGTTATCACGTGTTCGGGCCGTAAAACTTCATATTTCCCGACCGTCGGCATGCTTTTCATCATATTCCACCTCTTCGGATACTTAGTGCATTTTCCCGCAAAAATTATCGTTCGTTTAAAGAAAACTCCCGAGAGTATAGTATACGTCACAATAACCTGGTTTACGTCATAAAATTGATGATAATGTGTTGACCAAAGAGTTTTAGTAACGTTTTGTGAAAAATGAAAAAGAATTTGAGAGCGGTGCCGAATTTGAAAGTTTATGTTTATTTCAAAGTTTTGCTTGTTTCGGTATAATAAACAATTCATTGCATGAATGTTCGGGAAACATGAAGACTTATTCAGCCAAAAAATATCATATTCCCCTCGGGCGAAGCCCTCGGGGAATATGATTTTTCTTGGCTGAATAAGTCTATATATTTCCCTCACTATCATGCAATAAATGTATAATATCAAATACCCTTTAGTTAAACTTTTTTTCACATTGATGAAATTGTGACACAAATTTAAATATGTAAAACATGATGTAAGCTGATGAAATAAAATTATATACTTTATTTGATATCTTACAAGATCCTGTTCAATGACTCTGTAGCAAAGGGCAATTACTTTTTCTCTTCATATTTCATGAAATAACTTTTTTTCTGCAAAACCTTTATTAGGAGAAAATATTTAAGACCTTTTAGACAGTAGAATAGAATAGAGCTCTCAGACACTGATGTGTTAAACAGACTTTCTTTAAAAGACATTCATGCAGACAATAGAGTGCAAGAGAACTACTGGAGAGTGGTTAAGGAAAGTGATGAGAGAGAGAGAGAGAGAGAGAGAGAGAGAGAGAGAGAGAGCAAAAAAGAAATTTAAAGTAGGATAATGAATTATTTGTAATGTGAAACTGAAACACAATTGTCATACGGTGGATCATATTGCGAAATAAAAATTACAAAGCATTAACTAAGATTCACACTCGACTTTTTCCTTAAAAGTGTCATGCATCATCATAGATGCATACACGGAATATGAATTAACATAATTAACTCTTATTTCAGTTGCCAAGAAAGTGGTGAATATTCATGAGAATAAAAACACTCATCATGTTAACAAGATTCACGACGTCATTAAAACGTGTGTAGAATTTTATATCTCTACTTAGTTATACAGAAGCTCACAAACAGTGCTGGCATGGATTAAACACTTTTAACTTATCTGTTTCTTTTGCAATTTTTAAATGAAGTATATAAAGATAACGAATGGTATTCTAGATCAAAAGAACTAATCGTAATAGCAAAGGGCAAGTAATTCTCGAACCCTTTTACACATATCTACAGATCTATTTCGGTTATTTTGAATTTTCCAATTAAAATATGTTTCGGAAAGGATACTTCGTTTTCAATTCACCGGTTCCTTAGAATAAATGAAGGATATGGAGATAACGAACAGTATTCAATATGACTTAAATACTGAGTTAGACTTTTCAATCGTCAAGCCTTACTTATACAGCAATATGCCTCTATCACCTGCTTATACTATAGCTTTCAGTTGATTCAATATGCTACGAGCATGCATCTACGTATGAACAATTTCTAAAACAGGGCAACTTATTGATAAACAAGTTACTGAAACAAGAATTTCAGCAATTTCGTTTCAAATCATCATTTCTTCAGTTTTCTGGTCGACGCAATGACTTTGTCAGTAAATACAATCTATCATTAACTCAAAGACTGGCGTTTTTCATACTACGAGAAGTATTTGCTACGCCATCATTTACACAATGGATTATCGATGGTCTTTTCCCTTATTTCCGATTCATGAAAAAAGACACAAACGGCGAGTGTGACCGGTCAGCAAGGGATCCTCACTATCCCAGGGTACCTGATCCCACGTGGGAGGTTTCATAGACCTGTGTTCGTTCTGTTCCAAAATTTGTACTGTTTAATGAACTTTGGAGCTCGAATACTTTGCGTTATCCCAATATATTTCATTTTGCAGAAGCAGTCGAACCAAGTGCTTATGCTTTAAAGCCTTCAAGAAGATGAGGAAAATTAAATATCTATTTATTCCAATACCAAGAGAATCCTTTGCTGACCGGTCACACTCGCCGTTTGTTTCTTTTTTCATGAATCGGAAATGATGATTTGAAACGAAATTGCTGAAATTCTTGTTTCAGTAACTTGTTTATCAATAAGGGGGGAGGGGTCATGATTTGAACAAACTAAAATCTACAATACCTGAGGATGATTGCCTATGAATATCACTAAGCATGGCTTTGAAGTACTTAAAAAAAAGATTTCAAAAGGTTTCCCTATATATTCCTATTTAAAACTTTTATCGGCCATTTGGCCCCACCATACCCCCGGGGGTCATGATTTGAACAAGCTTGAATCTACACTACCTGAGGATGATTCCACATGAGTTTTATCTTTTCTGGCCCAGTGGTTCTTGAGAAGAAGATTTTTAAAGATTTTTCCTATATATTCCTATGTAAAACTTTGATCAGCCATTTTAGCCCCACCCTACCCCCGGGGGTCATGATTTGAACAAACTTGAATCTACACTACCTGAGGATGATTCAACATGAGTTTCATCTTTCCTGGCCCAGTGGTTCTTGAGAAGAAGATTTTTAAAGATTTTTCCTATATATTCCTATATAAAACTTTGATCAGCCATTTTGGCCCCACCCTACCCCCGGGAGTCACGATTTGAACAAATTTGAATCTACACTACCTGAAGATGATTCAACATGAGTTTCATCTTTCCTGGCCCAGTGGTTCTTGAGAAGAAGATTTTTAAAGATTTTTCCTATATATTCCTATGTAAAACTTTGATCGGCCATTTTGGCCCCACCATATCCCCGGGGGTCATGATTTGAACAAACTTGAATCTACACTACCTGAGAATGATTCCTCATGAGTTTCATCTTTCCTGGCCCAGTGGTTCTTGAGGAGAAGATTTTTTGAAAAATGCCATTAATTTTTCTCTAATTCATAGTTATCTCCCCTTGGAAAAGGGCGTGGTCCTTCATTTGAATGAACTTGAATCCCCTTTACCCAAGGATACTTTGTAGCAAGTTTGGTTGAAATTGGCTCAGCGGTTCTTGAGAAGAAGATGAAAATGTGAAAAGTTTACAACGACGACGACGACAACGACAGACAACGGACAAATTTTGATCAGAAAAGCTCACTTGAGCCTTTGGCTAAGGTGAGCTAAACATCGGCCATTTTGATATGATAGCATACTCTTCGTCAACATTAAGGTCTTTAAACGATATGTTTGGATTTCCATGGATAAAAATAATAGACTTAAAGCATAGAGTCTAAAATATAAATATATCCCTGAAATACAAGATCTAAAAATTCAAAATTATATATTTTTCGAAGAGAGAACAAGGCAAGAAATTATTGATTTATATACATTATGTACACTCTGAACTGTCGACGGGTTTTCCCGTTATTTCCCCATTAAGACAAGGAGCATATAGCGGGTATTATCATTAGTTAGCTCAGTTTCAATTTTGTATTGTTTTATGGACTTTTGAGCTTAAATAAATACTGTTTGTTATCTCTATATATTTAATTTCAAAGGGTGAAACCCTTAGAGCCACAAATCTGTTGTATATCAGTAGACAGCATTTTTCATAAAAATAATTATTTTTCATTCCAATATTATTTCATTTACTTACATTTCTATGTTTTTCTGACTTTACATTTTTTTTCCAGTTTTGAAATCTTCATGGCTTTTTCTGCTTTGATAGAAAATCTAATATTTTTTTTGATTCGACCTATTCACATTACTTAATATAAACATGCATAGACATATCTCATTTTTTAAAATTTTATTTGATTGAATGATTCAATATCTGTTTTGTAAAATCCCTTGCGAAAAAAAAAATTACTCATACGGGACGCATGTACTTACGAAAAACTCAAAATTAAGACCAATTATTAACACTTCGGCCTTTGAGCAGTGAGGGTACTTAAAAAGACAAACGTTTTTTTTTTAGCTCAGGTCCAAGAGACATTCATAACGCCCATGCCAAACGAGCAAAACACTTCTTATGACATATGTCCCAAGTTAAACGCATAGGAAGGGACGCAAATTGAATTGCTATACTACGTTTACAAATCATGTGTACTACTTCTAGACTACCAAAACCAAAGAATTGCTTTTGAAAGTCATATATCTAGTCTGTGAATAGTCAATAATGAAACTGATAAAATTACCTGAGAGAAAAAAATCTGTTAATATTGACACAATCAATTAGCAGAGAAGAAAATAGAATAGCGTTTTAACGTTCAATGAAG